GAGGGACCGGCTCTATCACATCCTTCGCCAGTAGGACTGCGATCTCTGCCCGCAGAACAGGGGCATCGGCGCGCCGGGCGAACTGAATCGCATAGCCGAGGCTGATGGTCCGCAGAAGCCAGCGAGACGGGCTGGGTAGTGCTGACCAAACGCCCAGAAACCGTACAAGCGGGACCAGCGGGGGACCCAACTCAGGCGGCTTGTGAGCGGGCCGGAGAGGGGTGTGAGTGTGGGGTGCAAGGCTCACCTGGTTCCACGGGTTGGCAGAGGGTGCGTGAGTAGGGCCTTTGTTGACGCTCTCTAACCGCCCGCTGCTGCCGGCTGGCAAAGGAGGAGGATGAGTGAGGTCCGGCATTAGTCCGTCCGCAACTCTCCGTGCCCTCCTGAGACCCAGAGATAAAGGAAACTGCTCTTTTGTCGAGAATTTGGGTACCGTCGGCCGTGAGGCCGTCTATCGAAGCGATATCCCAATTCGTCGGTCACCAACGTGACTAGGAGTGACCGACTGAAAGGGAAATGAATGTACTGATATCCTACTTTAAGTCAAGTAATTTTTCATTCTTTTTATATTATCTGTGAATAAATGTCATTTTATAAACCATACATTGTGTTGAAGTCATTTGTTGCTGAAGAAATGTAAAATCCGGGTACACCGTAATGGACAGATTTAATCTTATTTAATCTTACAAATGATAGTTGATGTGCTCAGATTATTTGTATTAATTAAACAATAGAAAAAACAAGATATGGTTTTTATAATACTGATTAGGCGTCCATACGGATCATTTCCATGCCACTTAACTACACTATACTAGGTCATGTGTGCTGATTACTGATGTCATTTAGATTTAGTTGAAAAAGTTTCAATTCGGTCTATCTTTTTTACCCCGTTTTAACATGGATTTCTATGGAGACCGGTGTCCGGCCGTAGTTGTCGGGCAAGATGGCGGATAGCAACAGTGGTGCATAATATTCACGTTCTGATTGGTCAGATCGCCTGTCAATCAAGCTCCCTGCGAATGGTCAATTATGTCAAAATGCTGGCTTTTGGCGAGTGACCTCGTAAACGCGGTCTTAAATGAGTTATAAAGTCCTAATTGGCCATAAAGAGTTGGGAGAAAACCAAATGCATGTCAGATCCACGTCATGTGCATCAGGTTTTAAAGAGACAGCGCTGCTTTTAAAGTGAAACCTGATGAAGTCTGTCATTGATTGAAATCAAAGAACAAAAGAAAAAGATAAATCACTCTACTGCACTAGTCGCTAATTAACTTTTGTAGTTTGAATAAAGATTAATTCATATTCATTTTATAGTTTATACGTATGCAATTCATAGTTTATGTGAAGATTGTTTTAAGATCAGCTAAACTAAAAGTTTACATTTTTTTAAAAAAGTTGTCATATTTTTCAGAGCCTATTAAATGTTAAAAAATAATGGCTTTCAATTATACAGTAATGTTGAATGGCTATAATTAATGGCTATTTAATTAATGCATTTAATAGAGATATCAGTAACACTACTGGTATCAATGATAATGGCCTTCATTAATAGTAGGCTACTTAGTAAAAAGATGTAATTAAACCATATTTAAAATATACTATGTTTATGTTGTTTCTACATTGATTTGGAGGTTCAATGTGAAATTATGATAATATAAATATATGAATGTGATTAATCGTGATTACCGTGAATGTGCAATTAATTAGTTACTTTTTTTTAATCGATTGACAGCCCTAATGTTAACCTTTTATATATGTTATTGTTGGTAATATTAGATAATTTTACAGCTAAATATACTTTTCAATTTAATTTCTAATTTTATAGGCCATCAATACTTTGTGTGCATTTTCATGGAGAAGAAAGAGAGTTATAAATGTGTGCACTTTAAGGAGTACTCTAGCATGTAGATGCCCTCAAATGTAACAGACACTGACTTAAAGCCACAAAACATTTTTTTCAAGGGATTTAACATCAACTGACATGATGTGATCTCTCCTAAAAATCTCAGATTTGGTTTACATACCCGTGTTGCAGATCTTGAGAAGGACGTCATTGCTCAATTCTTTTAGGGATGCAACGGCATCTTCAAAGAACACTCCATCATGGGATCCAGCAATGGCAAGAATCTGAGATCTGTTTGCATGTCTCATACCAATGGCATTAATGTTGATGGAATTGTCTCTCAAGACTTTAGCAGGCTCAGCTACATCATCCCTACTCTCTCCATCCGTAAGAACTATCAAGAACTTCAGAGCATTGGATCGTCCTCCTTTAGAAATGTCAAAAAAAGACTGTAATACTTCTGTAAGTGCTTTTCCAGTATACGTTTTTCCATTCATCTGTTTGATATTTCTGATTTTCTGTAATAATACAGCTTTATCGTCAAATTTATTTAAGGAAAGCTCCTCATTTGGGTCTGTGCCGTACTGAACAACCGCAACACGCTCCTTGTCCGGTCCAATTGCAAATTTATCTATCACAAGCTCCATTATGTCCTTCATATTTTCAAAGTCCTTAGCACTAACACTTTCTGATCCATCAAGCAGGAAGACAACATCTGCAAAAAGACCTTCACAATCTAAAAATGAGAAATTCATAAAGTGAACACTCCTTCTGTGAAAGGAACATTGAAACAAATTCTATTTAGGCCAACGGGGAAAAAAATCAAGAAGATTCAACTGGATACCGACAGTCATTTATCTGCATGCACTGTATTATTTCATAGGGAAGCCCGTTTCCGCCACTGAATAAAAAAAATATAATTCTGTAAGTCATAATAATGAGAAACTTTCTCGTAATAATGACTTAGTATCTCGTAATAATGAGAAACTTTCT